GGAAAGAGACTTGACATAGATGGTTCCTAGAGTTTTGATGAACTTTTTGGGTAGTTTTGAAGTTCTTAAATTACTCCCCTCACCTTCCTCTGGCCAATCCACTTATTCTCTCTGTCATCTGCTTCCAATAAAACCAACTATGGCTAGAATATCCCTTCCTAGCCCGGTAATGCCAAACATGCATGGAAAAAGAAATTCACAGAATAGTTTTAAGAGATTCACAGAATGTATAGAGAACTAGGATCTCTGCTTGCAGAAAAGAAAGCAATTAGCAGTGTGGATCAGAAAAGAGGGACAGGAAAATATGACCTGATCGTACATGGCCAAGTCCATTCTGGTAGTCTGTCCCTCTTTACCTCCACCTCCATCACTAGGATAAATGGGAAAAGAAGAGCACAGAGAGGAAGCCAGTGGAGCTCTTTCAAGACGTCAGCTTGATGACACTAGACAGCATCATGAAATGTGCCTTCAGTTATAATATATAATATAGACTGTCAGACTCAGAGATCAGTGCCTGAACTTTCAAATCCTGGGAAAACAAGCACTCCTGTTTCCCCACTCATGCTGCTAACACCAGCTTTAACCTGGTCTCCTTACAGCAACTCAGATCATTATATCAGAGCTGTTTATGACCTGAGCTACCTCGTGAGCAATAAGTCTCCAGACTTTTTCTTACAAGGATGTCTTCTATGACTTGACTCGCAAAGGCCATGAGTTTCAAGATGCATGCAAGCTGGCCCATACCCACACAGGTATTCATCCCCCTTTCTCCTGCAGGGTTGCAGCACGCGCTGACTAGAGGGTTACACATTAAACAGCATCCAAACTGCTGACCGAGTGGACAAGTGCATGAGCTTTCTGGAGGGGCAGAACACATCTAACCGATTGGTCATTCTCCTATGCAGATAAGGTAACAAAAGAAAGAAAGATATTGCTCTCCAGTGAGAAGCAGCTTGACAAGATCCAGAAGATGACACACCTGGATTTTCTGGACATTCTTCTTTGTACCAAGGTAAGTGTTTGAAATAATTGTATTGAATGCCAAAGAACATACCTGTGCGGCACCAAGGATGTGTCAGCAGGGAGCTCACCACCTCTAGCTGGAGCTGCTGGCAACAGCTTCCCCACCACAGATTTCCTAGCTCAGGGAAAGGTGGTTTGAAAGGGAAGGAAATACAAATGTGTGAGATCAGTGATTGAACATAAACAGCTCAGACAGATTTTCATCTTCCTTATTCATTTTCATTGAGCACATTAATAGTTTAAACTAAGTGAGCTGTCAGAAATCAAAGAATGAGGTCTTCAGAAAGGTTACAAGGAAGCCACCTTGGCCGTAGTCCTCTTAAGAGGTTTTGTCTCTTACCGTCTGTAGTTTTACCTTCAGAGACATCTTCAGATACTGCGGACAGAAGCTGCCATTTGGCGTTCAGGAAGGCGATACCCTCTGTGCTCACTCTGTCCTTCTGGAGCCACTGCTTTCTTTCGTGTCTCAGTCTGAAACAAAAGTTGCCTAAACCAAACTAC